TTTCCTATTGATACCCGAAAAATGACCATACCTTCAAGCAATTGCAATTAAAAGGCAGAAATTTTCAGTGTGTTGTAATTTTAAACGTAAAAAACTTACATTTCAAGAACAGTACGCACTTGATCCCACTTTTTGATTGCTTCTTCACATTGTTCTAAATCTCTTTCAAGTTTAGAGGAACTGCCGTCATTATCTTCACAAGATTCCATTTCTTTTAATGATTCATTACGACGCCCCTTGAAAATGAAAAGATTTCTCTAACAACTCTACAAGAAATAAAATTAATGAATTAGTAAGTAAAATTAGTACCACTAATTTAATGATGTTGTTCTTACTTGCTGCTCATGAAGGATTTCGCGAGCAAGTTCAAGCACTTCCATAAGTTGGTTTGGCCGTTTCATTTTGATTTCATTTTTATTGCATCCATTATACTTTTTGAATAAATCGAAGAATCGCTGATCCGTTACAACAATCTGTTGATAAAAATCGATGAGGAAAATAATTCATACGAAGGAAGTAGATATTTTCATTTTATATTACAGTTCATCATAAGAATAGAAGTGATGCTCCATGCAATAAGACGAGAAAACAGAAACGAGCAGTTCATTTTACTGATTTCAACAAAGGACATGCGTGGCAGAAAAGTGACGAAAAGTAGTAACGTGATTCAATATTTACGTAACATAACAAAAAGCATCCTAAAAATTTATTACAATTATTCCTTCAAATAAAAAATTTTACAAAGTAATGTCACCTTCATTTTCTGTTTTGGAGTTCGATCACCATGTCTAATAATGGCAATGACACACCGTAATTCCATTATTTTTCCACTCGGTGTTGAAACCAGAGGTGGGTCATCTGTAAGCCAGTCGAAAATTGATATTAAAAAAAAATTTAAAAAGTTGAACTGTGCTATATCACATATTCCGAAATGAACAGAAGTAAATAATTTGAAAAAGACTAAAAAATAACCTACCATCCTGATATGGAATTTGCCATGGTATGCTCATCGATGATGCCAATCGTCTTAATATAGTATTTCCTAGAATCTTGGCCGTGTCCTCATAATACTTTGTTGAACTTTTAACAAATGAAAATCCATTAACATCACACACGAAAGATTTGCCATTTGCACGTAACAAGTCGAAGCCACAAACAGTTTGCTACAAGGAAAATGAATTTAATCGGTTGAAAAACTAATTATCGTTGCTTACAGTAAGTGTTTCGGTGAGTGTTGTGCAAATCAGTGCTTTATCAATTTTTCGCAACTTACCCCAAACGCCATAACTACTTTTCTTGCGATCAGCTTTTCCTTGCTACTCAAAATAACTGGATAACGAACTTCTTTTCCATGAGAATCACGTTCAACTTTTCCATCCAAACCAGGCGCTTTCCTAGCTTCTGCATGAGCATAATACGGACCCACGGCATAAACCTGAATCGACACAGTCCTTTAAAATATAATTCGATTTATCCTTAAACCTTCTTAAATTACTACTTTATTAAAATCTGAAATAGTACCTTAACATCAGTGCCATCTGCTGGTATGAAATCTTCGTAAATGTAAGAACCTTCTCGACGAACTGTGCTTACGGGAGAATACCAACTGCTACGATTGTTTATCTATAAAATATAAAATAACTTTCCGAAAATAATCCTTACACAGGTCCGAAAAACGTTCCTTCTAAAGTCCTGAAACAAAACATTTCACTGTTTTCTTCCTTAATTTTTCAAAAATAAGAAAAATTGAAATGAACCGTCCATAATTCTAAGTCAAGGTTCGGAACTGATCCGGAGCGGCCAATTACATTTTAAGATATTTTTGAAATAGTTAGGCCACATAAACTGCCTTTAACTTTGCTCAGGCATTAATTCTACATAAGATTCCGCTGATTTTTTGAATTTCCAATGCAAAACATACTGTGAAGGATATAAGACACCTGAGATTTATAGACCAAACTAAAATACATTGCAGAGAACATTAACTAAGTACCTTTTAGTTCCACTATCTTCCAAATACAAAAATGTAGCATATCAACGTAAAAATGTAGCGTATTTCAAATATAAAAATAACAACTCAACAAAATATAACAACTTGCAGCCGTTTACTATTAATCACAAATTTAGTATTTAATTAAAATGATTAAGAACAATTAAATTTTTATATTTGAAAATACTTATTCATATTTGATCCGAAATCTCCTGCATGCCCAAAATTATTACTTATATGATTGAAAAAAACATCTTTCCCAATTCTGTACGCATTAGCATATGAAGCAAACCACTAAGAGTAGCAATTTTCCCTGAACAATTATACAGTTCTCCCTGAAGCAATTCTCCCTGAACAATTATACATTCAACATAATCTGGGTAATGTTTATTACCTTTCTGAACAAACGTTGTGAGCCACCACCAACGGAACTTGGATAATAGATGTATACATTATGATCTTCAGCAGACAACGGCTTCTCCACAAATGGTTTGTTGAACATCATTCCATTGACCTCGATATGATCGCTAAATTCCTTCAACGTCCCTTCTCAACAAAAATTTGTTTTAGAAAACAAATTGAAAGTAAAGATAAAACACACCAAGACAATAACTTTTGAAATTAACAGCAGTGCAACAACAATGATATAAGAGTTTGAAAATGAACTTGCCAACTTTTCCTTCCTTGTCACGTAAGAGAACACCATGACGAGGATGCTCAATACCTGCGCGAGCTAAAGCTTTGAAAACTTTGCGCCGATCTAACTGAAACATTTTTCAAACTTAATTAAAAAATTGTCGTACTAAATGAATAAAAGAATATGGAAGGTCAGGAAATAATACTATTATGTAACTCTGCAGGACACTTATGTTGCCTTGCTGATCGAATAAACTGTACGATTTAAAATCTAAAGAAGCTAAAGCTTAATTAAGAAATATTTTACAACATCGAAATAAGACTTACTAGATCATACTGTCTATGTAGGTCATTAATAACATATGGATGCCTTAAACGTTCATATTCGATAGCTTTATGCAAGGGAAAATCAGCTGCGTGGAAACTGATCAAACAATCACATAGCGGCCATCGTTCAACAGGCTCTTTCAATATTACCTCTTCAGGAAATATCACAAACTCAAGCCAATTCTGAAATGCTGGACAGACATTTGCACTGCAGTAAGTGTAAAGTAATACTGCTGCATAATAGGTAAGCAGTGAGAAGTGAGAACAGTTGCACTCATCTGCTTGAAAAAATTCAAAAATTATTGTACTATTGGAAGCATACCCCGTAGTATTCAACTATTTTTGCCATGATTTCTTGCATCGGTTTGCTTGTTGCTTTTCTTTTCATCGTACAAACTCCGATTACTATCTCCAAAAAACAAAAAGGTAGTAATAAAATAATTATATCAAAATTTTCCCAAATCCAACTTCTTTTTCTACCGAATCTTGTTTAGAAATTTAAACCCTAAGTTATTACTTTTGTGAGACCAGCACAGTTGCCCAATTTACAAAAGAATTTATTCGAAAGCACCAGAGATAGAAAAATGTTAAAACTATGTGCTTATGATTTTCCCATATTTAATGCCCTGGAATGCCTTGCAAGTTCCTTAATTATAGAAGTCTAGAATTGGAATCAAGTCCCTTAATTCCAATTCTAGACTTCACCTTGCAATGTCAATACATTCTTTCGATTTCTACTGACAATTTGAACTGAATCAATGTTGTCGATTTTTTCCCAAACTATCTTCCAAATTCTTGTTTGGCCAGTCAATCAATCAGACATAAAGAATCCAACTTTCTTTGCTGATTCACGACTGGATAATACTGTTGGCATGACCCAATGAAATTTCTATGCTTCATTAAAATACCAATCGACAACAGTCACAAATAAATCACTGTAGTTGTAGGTGACAGGAAACAGTCCTCAGATTGGAGCATTTCATTGTTGGAAGAGCGTTTGAGTCTAAAAGACTTTAACTGTTTAGTGTGGCGATTTAAAAAACGCACTGCTTACGGTCACTTTTTTTGGAAGACCAATTTTAGACCATTATTCCGGAAGTTATGAATATTTTATTTTAATTATGTTAACTCCGTTTCATTTTCCCACTGTTCGTTGAGTTACACAAAAAGCGCTGGTGACGCACTCATGCAACCACTGCAACAATGGAGTGTCGATTAAAATGAATCATATCATTCATCCAAATCAATTCAGCAGTACAAAATGATATTGCAGAAATGAATTTATATTAACAATTAAATCTCGAGTCCCAAATTGAGGAAATATATTATATTGTAATATACTATTAGTCAGACTAGTCTAAATTCCTTAATACAGCAATTACTCAAGATCCAATAAAGGTGATACATCACGAATGGTGAATATCACGAATTTTGATTGCAAATCGCAGGTGGACATCACGAATTTTGATTGCAAAATTCAAATCATTTAACGTAACCACCGTCATCTGGTGCATTCAGTAAGTGCACTGTGTAACTTTTATTATTGTGTTTCTAGTTCTTCGCAATGGCAGTATCTCCATTGTTCTTATAAAACTGATCTATCCGTAGTAAATGAAGATAAGGTCATAGCTTCGATTTTGTAGGACATTGAAACACAAATAAAACTGATAGACAGTATTAAAATAATTTGAGGAAAATAACTCTACGGGCTATGCAAAATTCAATTCCGGAAAAATTTGCGATAAGTTAAACTATCAAACTCTTTTTGAACGTCAGAAAAGGTTTGCCAAGACTAATGCAAAAAGAAACCTACAACACTAACATCTGCTTTAAAGTCTTGGCTTTGGAAAAAAATAGATATGCTCTGAAATCGCCAGTTTCTCACACTTTCCAACCCAATAAAAGAATATACATAACAAACAAATAAGTCCTCGACTTATGTTTCGCTAAACAAAAAGGGGAAAGCATGTATTAATAGATTTGATAAATTTTATTCCCGAACTTACAGGATGATAAGTTAACAAAGGTAATTGAGTTATACTTATAAATGAAACAAATTGGACACATAAATATCTGGAATTCTGATATTTTTACGCTGGTCGTCTTGCGAAACCAATTACCACAACATATACGATTAGGAAAAAGGTAATGACTTTGTTGTCTATTGTTCCAACTCGGCCGTACTATTCAGGCGTATTTGTGCGGCAATTCGATCCAAATCTTTTCGTCCCTGAATGAAATTATTAGTATAAAAATGACAAGATATTTGTTCCATGTAAAAAACATGCTACTATCTCATAACTAATTTTCACTTAAAGAAACGTCCTTCGGGAACCATTAGTGTGTACCCAACAATATATATAGAAATTTTATGTATGCGTAATAACTATATCCCATAGTTTCAAACATAAACGACCATACCTGCCGGGAAAGTGTTCGGCCATTACCTTCCGGATGTTTCTCAACCCATTTTATGGCCTCTAGTGTTTGAAGCGCTTTTCGAATAACAGAACCAGAAGCTTTAGAGAAATGATTTGGTGTTACTCCTCGTCGTTTAGCTCCACCATAAACGCGCCGTAACGCACCAACTCCTGTAAATGAAGTTCAATATGTATAAGGAAATAATCCCAAATAATTTCAAAATACAATCTGGTTCTTTTTAGAAAAATATACTCCCTGACATAGCCTCATTTAAAAAAATAAGCTCAAAAAATTAATCATCCAGTCCAAATAAACTTTTTTGTAGGTCTCTTGATACTAATACTCTGTACTTTGACTAAATATTAAGATAAACAGGGAATGAAAGAACAAACCTGTTGGAGAACGAATATAAAGACGGCGTGCAATGCTAGCAGTTCTGGTGTAGTACCAGTCAATGTCAATAGGTGCAAGTTCTTTGTAACTTCCCATTTTCACAAGATCTGACCAATCAGGCACCTTCACTTTTCCGCTTTTTTTCAAAAAATGTGCGATGTGTTTAACCATTTCATGCTGATCCACATCCTTAACACTCGTTGGTTTAACCATTGTCTAATATTCGTCCCTCTCCGAATGTCTCTAGAAGATATGTCTGTTAATAATAAGGATGAAATGAAAGATCAGCTTCAGGTTGTATAAGCAAGTAATATATGCTATAATCTTTTTAAGAAATCATTAATAAAACAGTAATCAAATGTGTTAATGGACAGAATGCCTTGCATTTTTAAACAATAGCTTCTAAGTTATACAATATACCACTGTCCTGGAAAAATGCTGTGAAACTAATTATGCCACAAAGACGAAACAAAGACTGAATCCAATGCATTAATACAAGGGCATGACAAAGAAAATATTTTAACATTATAAAACGAGTATATATAAATGAAGTGTGATGCGACATGCAAGACTGTCCTCTTCCTTCACAACATTTTAGATGTAGTATGGTACCATCTCAAATTCCAACACTTACCCTCAAACCGTTAAGAAACCACCACAAACACCCAGGATATACTGAACAACTTGCGCGACACATCACATCCCTACTTCAACTCTAGACCCTTGGTACGGTCTGTTAAATTTTGTTTAGCCTATAACGAAAAGTATTGGATGTAGAGAGCAAGAAGTGTTGATGTGTCGATGTGGCTTGTGTAGTCTGTTGCTAAGGCTAGGGTAAGATATAATTTATCGGGGAATCTGGTTATTCCAAGTCAAAATGCCGGTCGTGACAGATATTTTTAGAAAAGCGTGGACAAACTTAAGATATGGAGGTATACAAAGACAACTGTGTCTGAATGGAATGGGAAATGGGAATCTGTTTTTAAAGAAACGGACAAGAAACATATTGCGCGAACAAAAGATAACTCATAGAATCTTTAATGAATAATAAATGAACTCAATTCCTCGTGCATGGGATTAGTGACATAGCACGAAATACGTAACTTCTAGCGCAAAAAGATTCGTATTGAAGGGTTTCTTCCTGTTCTCTCGATGTAATACAGAACTTACGAAATCCAGATTCGCTATCACCAGTTCGTTTTTCTGACAGTTTCATCTGTTAGTATGAAACATACAAGCTCCCAGGCTGACCATACAATTGAAATCTACAAGTCCCACCTCCGTACTATCTTCCAGTAAATAACTAAGATTTGTCCACCTCTCACAAGATATTTTCCTTTCTGTGATTCCAATCCATCTCAGTAATGTCACAAATCAGTATTTCGCAATATTACTTTTCCCAATCATTAAGGAAGGTAATACCACTTTTTACTCCATCCTGAAGATTAAGTGGTATTCAAAAGGCTTGCGTCATCCATAATCGTGATAATTTATTTTCACAAAACATAGCAAATTATGAGAAATCGCAAAGTTGGTACAAAGGCTAACAAAAATTTAAAAAATCAGACTAAAGCGAAGTTGCTTGTGCTTCTCAGAACCATGACAAGAGCACTTATTTTCGCCCCTGAAAGGGTTCATGAAGTCTCTCTGAAAAATAAACAAAAGATAACTAAATTCAAAGTGAGCATTTGTGAGCATCAATAGCTCGCAATATAATGAAGATGCTACAAATAATTACAACCGTAATAATAAAGTAATACAAAACAGTAAGAATAAGAGACGATCCAAAACGAACTATGAATGAAAATGTAAAGCGTGGCAGAACAGAACCCCAAAACTTATACTGCCGTTTTGCTTTCCACCTAAAAAGGATGATCGTTAATTGTGACAAGCTCCAATTCTTGAAATCCACGGCGACAGAAGATATAATTAAATCTGAATGAAATTCAGCTGAAGAGACCTACATAAACATCGCACAAAGTTTGGAGAAAACGCCAAGGAATTATAAACAATAAAACTAAACAAATACACTTAGGAGAAAAAGTCAACCATAAACGAATTTTTAAAGAAATAACATAAATCATGTCAGACTAAAAAATTCTTTAGAAGTTCCTTAGACAATTAAATGTTTCTATTAAATAACCAGTGACTTGTGCATGGTCTTGATCAAATTTACAATGCATAACATTACACAGAACATCTCATGTATTCTTAACATTTTCATCAGCAGTTTACAAATTATAACACAAATAGAAAGAGCAGCATACTACTACTAATTTGAATTAATGATAGCCGACTGCTGTGTAGTGATCAGATTCGCTTGTGATGAATTAACTTCTGCTGATGCTACCGCCCGCACTGTTGCGTCTACAGAACCACGTGCTCGTGTACTTAATTCTGAATTGCCATGTCCACGTACTGTTGAATGTGTCCTTTCGTGTTTTGTTAAATGATCTGATCGCATAAATTTTTTTCCACAATGACCGCAAGCAAAACGTTTCTCACCTAAAAAAATTTTTTGTTTATCAAACTTGCAGTTCGAATATAAAGACTTCGAAAGTACAAAGTGAACACAAACCAGTATGTGTTCTACGATGCCGTTGCAATTCATCGGAACGTGTGAACCTTTTCTGACAATGTGCCCAGTCGCACGCGAACGGTTTTTGCCCTGCATGTCCTCTTAAATGTGCTCGCAAATGTGACGTCTTTCCATAGGTTTTTTCACATAAGTGACAAATGTGTAAACGCTGCTTCTCACCACTTTTAACCCTAAAAAACAAAAATGGTTTTCCTGCTCAAATTTTTTCTACTGAAAAACATATTAAATAATAAAATTCAAGAGTTGGAATTCTTTAATTCCCAATCATTCCTCGATAAACACTTACAGCTTATTGTTAGTACTGTTCTGACAGTTCGGACAATTACACGCAGTTCTTTTAGGCGTTTTCTGCTGCTTGTATCCTAGTTGTTGACCAACAGTTGAAGCACTTGGTGTAGCGTCGAATTCATTTTGACGATTGTAACGATATCCTTGACTTGGTGGCTCTGTTGTATCACCTGTTGCTGTAGTAATTATCCATTTCTGAGGATCATTTGGATCTTGAATGAAATGCAAATTTCCTGCAATACATGTTCATAAGTGATGAAAAATGTAAAACCCTCTATCGGCATGTTTTAGTATGTAAGAGCAGTAGAACTCACTAACTTTCAGTCATCGAATAACAGAATTCATATAGAACTCATATTTTACTACAGCGACATAAAAAACTGCATTTTGGATACGTCTCTCAAATCACCATTTCCTGTCTGTAGCAGAAGTTCGGTAATTTAATTTTAATTTTTCCATTCCTTTGCGTAAATTATCGTTTAAACTGTGAAGTCTTTTTTCAAATCCATTTTTTAGCTATAACATTTTTGCAAAGGATGGATACCACAAATGAACTGCATAAAATTAAAATTACATGACAGAAATTGATCAGTAAACCACTGACGAATAGTAAAATCAATAATCAAACCTAATTTTATCCTTTGTTGGGTAGCGACTCCATTAGCACTACCATCGTCTATTTCATGTTTTGTATTTGTTTGTTGTGGTTGTTGCATGTCCACATTTCGCATATGCTGTAAAGTTTGTTGCTGTATATGATGAGGTTGCGCATGCAAACTGGCTAATACTGGTTTCGTATCTGGAGCCGGATGCATCTGCAGCGGTATAAATGCTATCTAAAAGCATTAAAGTGATCGTAAGTTTTTATAGAGAAAAACCACAGCATTTATTTTAGCCGAAAGTTGAGATTCTTTTACGGTAAGATAAATTTAATCGAGTCGTACTCAGTTGGAAGAGGCTTTCACCGAATTCCTTCTGCAAATTTATCATTTAATAGAATTTATTCATTATTCCCACTTACGGCTCTTTCCTTCCTTGATTGATATTTCAGAACTAGTAAAGAAGGCCACAAAATTACGTTTACTTTTTCTTCAAAAAAGCAATTCAAGAGAAAAACCTGTTGCGGTGCCTGATTGGGGCCAGCTGTAGGTTGTTGTACAATGTAAAACTGGTTAGTCTGCTGGATACCGGTAGGTTGAATTGGTATTGAAGGGCCTGGAAACACCGCTGCAAACCTTGATAAAAACAAATAATGATAGGGGAAAAAATGGGAACAAAAAAAGCGAATTAGTTGTATAGTATACCAAACTATACTACATAATGTACTATGTATATATATATATATATAATGTGGTAAGAATTCTCAATTCGAGAATATATTTTATTGCTCTTAGTTATTGATTTTTTTAGAAAAAACACGTGCTCTCGGCTGTTTAACTCACCTGTTCAACAGAAAACAGGCAGCATAGATCAGCTTCAAGCCTAATGAGTATATGGTTCAGAATGAAATGTAAAATCAGGTTTATCACACTCCAGTTAAAAAAAAAAACCCTACTTAAAGCTGAATTTGCAAAAATAAATGTAAATCCGAAGAGACATCCTCTCAATTATCACATCCTGCACCGCTATGAAATGACTGTAAATCTTACTAGCAATTGTGGGTTGTTGTATTACTAAGAATTGTTGAGTTTGTCCTGGCCCTGTGACCGGTATGAGCTGAACTTGTGTCGGTTGTTGTCCACTTTGATTTTGAGTAGCAATCGGTATAAACTGCACCTAAAAAAACTTCTAGTCAAAATGCACAGAATTAGGAAAAGTAGGTTTAGGATATAAAGAACAAATCCCGATTTTATAACGCTTTGATGGATGAATAACACTTGAAAATTTGTAGTTTTTGTGATTTGAAAGAACGATGTGTTCGTGCTAATCGTTAACTTGCGCAAGTTTTTTATCACTTCATCTAGCAAAACCAACGAAATCTGACATGGTTTTAATCGGACTGTAAATTAATATCATACTGGAAAAAAAAGTGCACAACGCAACTCCAAATATACTACTCACCCTATATCTTATTCTTTCCGTGATCAGAAAATTCGGTAAATTCCGAGATGAAATGAATCTTTTACCTGCTGATGCTGTATAGATGTAGTCTGATGCTGCGACTGCTGTGTCACGACAGGGGTACCATTCGTACCGGCGTTACCGGTAATGGGTTTCGGCAGTATGGGAGTGTCCTGCGTCGCTGGGGGTTGTGTCGTGGATGGTGATGGCGCTGCTGGATTGGACGATGGCTGCTTGGGCAAGATAGGGGTGGTCTCAGTCATCGTGAGGCGGGGGCCACCTGTTGTTACTGTTGCTGCCCCTTTCCTATACTGATCACACGAGGGGAGGCAGGCTGTACTACGACGTGTCAACTCTTCAGGCTATACGTCACCACACACTTACGTTTAATCTTCCTTGCGATGGCGGAAGCCTACGCAACGCACTGACAATTAGAATAAGGAATGCAAATGAAGAAAGCACACCTCCCCGCCGGTCTTTAGCAATCGATTCAGCCAACTTTGATGGGACAATGGGCGGAGCATGGAATTAATGCGGCCCACGTCGTTGAATGGGTGTGTCCCTTTAATGAAAATGGGCGTGGCACCCTTCTGACCCTGCGGATGACTTATTGCATTGGGGTGGGCGGTGCTGGTAGCTCTCAACTCGGTCCTCCTCGAAACATACTTCCCGATTGAAATCGGGACACAAACACTACGTTAATGCAACTTTGCACATCGCTCTTGGGAAGCACACATTTGCACTCTGCAGAAAATCGTTGCTATAAACTATAGGGCGGTAATGTTCTCCTGAATTCTGTTTTGCGCTTCAAGAATAGTTCATAAAGCTGATTCTTCCAAGATACTTTGAAGTGTTACACAACAGTCGAAGAACTGGTGATGTCTGTTAATCCATGAGTTTGTTAATTAAATTTTCTAATTTGAACTGTTCACACTTTGTTATCCATAGTGAACTGTTCTGTTCATGCCTGTTTTGTTCTTAAGCAGTTTCTTTCATGTGTTTATTGAACAAGCAATGTAACTACAATAAATGAACAATAAAGAACCACAAAAATTTGCTTCCTGTGCTTTCCGCCTACGCACTTGGTTTTAAATTCCTAGATTAATGCCAAGATATAAGAAATGCGCAAATACCATGCCTGTGCTAATATTTATTTCCTCTTAGTTGTAAGACCAGCACCCGCATTACATTTAAACAATATTATATCACCATCTTCAACGATATAATTCCTGCCCTGCTGACGATACTTCCCTGCTGCTTTCACAGCAGTTTCGCTGCCTAACTCCATCAAATCGTTCACCTTACATACTTCTGCCATAATAAATCCTTTCTCAAAGTCTGTATGAATCCTTCCAGCAGCTTGCGGTGCTTTTGTTCCTTTCTTCAAAAGATAATACCGATTTTTAACTGACAGTAAAAATTTCATTCGACAACTGAAATCCTTAAACAAAAAGTTATGCCCCAACTGTGATTTTAAAATTATAGTTAAGCCTACTTGAACTGTCCACGCCTTCACTTCATCCTTACCACACGTGAAAAAGTATTCAAGTTGTAGTGCCTTGTAACCGGTTTTCACAATTTTATCTAATGCGCTGAAACAAGATGTCAAGAGACTAAAGAACAAATAAATGGAAAAACGACATATAAAAAAAAAAAAAAAAAAAAAAAAAACAAATCTATAAGCACAAATCAAACATTCCAGTAAATCTAGTTTGAAAAATCATCGAGAAAACATACCTTGTTGCATTCTGTCCTTTCAAAAAGGCGATTCGCTCATCTTCTGGCATTTCCATGAGCTTCAGTTCCAGTGTACCGCTAAATGGGATACAAGCTGCGTACGGGTCATTCTCACTTAACCAGATTTTAATTTTTGGTAACCACTTATTTTTCTGCAAATGTATTTTTATTTTCGAAAATAAAATATTTACTTTCGCTAACTATCTTAGAACCATTCTTGAAATGCACTAAATAATTTCTTTCCTTCTCAAACCACTTTCGAGAGATTAATCAATCCTCCGAACTTTATTTGCGACAAGGATAGCCCTCTCAAAGAGCAGTCCTTAGCTTTCCTGAATAAACTCTCAACACCTGAAAACTTGCTTTTCTGACATAGTCCATTTCCGAGAGATTAATCAAATAAACAATAGGCTTAGCCGTCAACAGAAGGTGATGATTCAGTGCTTCCACTTCCTTTTCGTTCCATACCATCAAACGAACGGGTTGACCATCCTCCTCTAACAACTTTTTCACCTATAATTAAAAAGCCTGAAAAGCCTTTCATTTCCTTCAGCTTTCCAAATATTATCTTTTTCTGTCAGGATTACCTTCAATAATATTTCATACTCCAGCTTTTTACTTTTATCGACACCTCTCACAACAATTTTCTCCATTTTATCTATAGCGCCTTCTAGATACTGTAGGTCTTTCTTGATAAGCTCTCTTTGTATAATACCAAGATCACGAACTGGATTAACTTCACCTTCTACATGCGTCACATTGTCGTCATCGAAGGCACTAAAATAACAATTCTGTTTTCCAATCATTTTCTGAAATCTATAAGGCAGTCTATGTAACGAGGAAAGTTCTTTATTCTTTTTCTTACCGCTTTTCTCCTTAAATAAATTTGGTAGTTCTAAACTTGAGCAGCTGTGTAACAAAACAATTCTGAATTCATACATTTTAAATATTTTTGTAATTGAATCTCATCCATTCCTTTTCAACTTCATAAATAAAAAGACAAAGGGTTTATACTAATTTAAGATCGTTACTAACCGACAAAGGTGAAAAAGCGCATCACACGCACTAACATGTGACAAGAAAGCATTTCCAAGACCCAGTCCTTCAGAAGCACCACTCACCAAACCAGCAATATCAACAACATTTAAAAATGCTGGCACTTTACTGAGTGGCTTGTAATGCTCTACCAACCAATCGAAACGGTTATCATTAACGGGTACGCGGCCTAAAATGATAGTGAACTTCATTGCATACTAGAAAATGACATAAACAACGCTTAATAATCCTATAACAAATTCCAGTAGAGAGAAAAACAGGAAAAAATCAATGAAGAGACGCAAAAAAATCTGTGAAATATTGCATTGATTAAAGCATGCTACATTTCTTCAAAATTAATAACATCTTTACGAATAGTTTAAAAAAAAAAGATTCAAAGGCAACTGAGTTTTACAAAATTTATCTAGTCGTCATGAATTTGCAAAAGAATAGAACTTATTCAGCAGTGATAACGACGATCATTACAAACAGGAAAGTGAGGTATTTTCTGCAATATTAACAGAAAATGTAAAGAGCAAATTAGTTGTTTCAAACTTACTTTCGTTAGGATCAATTGTACAGAAAGGAAAGTTTTCTGCTTGTGCTTGACTTTTCGTTAGCACATTGAAAAAAGTGCTTTTCCCGACGTTTGGAACTCCAAGAATACCCATCTAAATCGAAAATAACGGATTATATCATTTTGACACAATCACAGAGATATAACTACACAGATAAATTACATTTTCTAAATACATTTTTTTAACATAAACTACTAGGTAATTTTGGTTGCCTCCCAATAGCGCACTCACATCTTATTTACAAAGAAAATCTCAGTCGATTATAATGAAACAATGCTGCAGTAATTGGATAATTAAGTTATCACGTCCATCATCTTTACCAACACTAGAAAGACATATCCAGGAAGTTTCCAACCAACACAGGACTAGGAAGTTTGCAACGGAAAAACAGCCAATGAATTTAAAAAGTCTCCAAATTACAAGCATTGTCAATAGTTCTCTTATTAGAAAATTAATGTTATTTGATCAAAATGAGAACAAAAGCGTACATACCTTTAAATTTGTCCCTATCCGACCTAATATGGGCAGACGCTCTCCCACATCACCTTTCTTTTTCGGTGGCATTCTTGTTTACTAATTATACTGAATAAATTGCTAAAAAATGCATAATAGGTTTAGAATTGAACTACGTGTTAATAGTTAGAACAGCCTAGCAAGCCTGAATCGATTATAACTTGTAAATAAACCAAAATGATAGACACAAGGATTCAAGAATAGTTTAATAGCATTTCCTTTGCCAGAATAATGAAACAAAATGATAAGGGAATCATATTACTCGTTTTACTCGTTAATGAAGCTACAGCAAGGAAGAATCGAATTGTTTATTTCTAGGGATATAAAAGATAGTTCAGTATTCAAACTGATTAGATGAAAGTGTTTTCAAAAACACCGGTGTTGTGCAGTCATTTCTGTTTATTTCTAGGAATGTAAGAAATCGACAGCTGGTACAAAACAATAATTTTTAAAATTTTATTTAAAAAAAAACGAAAAAAACAGAAACCGCACAAAAACAGATTTAGAAAAATAACACGAAAAATAAAATTTTCTGAAATTAATGGTACATTGGTCCTCGTGGAGGGAAAACTTGTGGAACAACGAAGGGTGGCGCTCCAGGCATTGGTTGAGGTTGCATCATTCCCATACCAGGACCCCCAATACCACGCACTGCTCCCTGCAAACCTGAAAATTATGGAAGATGAAGAGTAACACTTACAAAAACACAAAAAATGAACATTATTTCATTATCTGAATAAAACCTTCCAAACAAATTTTAGCTCAGCAATAAGGAATTAGACAAAAAAAATTCGCGAATAGTTCGGAACATTCATTCTTATTTTATCTTTTCAAAAAACTGATTTTCTCAGTAGTGACAGTAAACAGTAAATGAGAAACTTAAGTTAGAAAAAATTTTCTTCTATGCGACAATGATAGTAGGATTCCCTCTTGTCTACGGAATGTTCACAATCCGTTAGAACGCTTTTATCATCTTTCTTCACTTTTTTTCTTCTCCCCAAAACCTTACTAAATTTACATGCTTAGAAAGGAATCAGAAATACTAACCAGGAGCAGGTCCAGGAGGTCCAACCATAGGTGGTCCCATCCCACGCCCAGCTGGTTTTGCTGCACCAGGTCCACCAATGTTTCCGGCCTTTCCCTGTTGTTTTGAATCCTCATCCTGTTCATTAGACTGAACAGTCATTGAAACTATGTGTTCACCCCGCAATAATACCAAACCCAGCGTCCGTTTTTCTTCTCCCTAAAAGAAACTATATACAGTGAAGTAGAAAAAATGAGAAGTTTATAACAATATACATGGGATATAAAACTCGAAATACACAAATACTAAACAACTATTCCTAAAAAATGACTACAGACGACTCACTGACTTAATATGAGTTACACTTTCCTCGATGCTATTTTGCTCTCATTGCTCTACTCTCTACTGTTAACATCAGAAATAAGAAACGGACTTGAGTATTACAATATAAAGAAGCAAGAACGAAGCTTTAATATATCAAACTGTGTAACTCTAAATATTCCGTTATTAGTTACCTCAGCAATCTTTTTGCCAGGTTTTGGTTTGATCCGACGCAGTTCTTCACAGTCGCACAGAAGAATATTCATATGTTTATCGAAAGCTAAAGCATACAATTATTCACATAAATGTGGCACGAAAACGCAGTTCTTCTTTGGTATGTTATATGCTGTTTCAGAATATTATAGATAATGAGATGCAAAACATGATTAGACTAGATACAAATTTATTAAAAATTTTAAGATTTACACCAGACGAATTAAGTATACCTTTGAAATAACCAACGAATGTCCTAGAATCCAATAATACCACCTTCATCTTACGGTTCAAATGAGACATCATTTTATTGTTTTTGCTAATCGTCTATAAGAAAATAATATCACAAAACCTATTTGAACGAATACATATTTTGCCACCTAAAGTAAATATACATTCAAATTAAAAAATTGGCACAAAAGACAGCTCAGTAAAAGTTGTATTATTTGAATTATAATTTACTCATAATAGAGAATAATACTATAAACATAATTTAACGTGTATTTTACCACCTGATAATCGACTTGGGAAATTGTTGGAAAGATAATAATCACAAGAAAGATGGATAAAACAAATTATTATCACTTACCATGTTGGTAGTTTTGTAGTTATTTTACTCTCTAATAAGCAGCTGCAAATGAAAACCCACAAAAAGACACTGCAGATGAATAAACAAAAATACAGCTTAAAAATTGGCAATAAATTGAATGTACGGTAACTCATATGAACTTTAACAAATTTGATACACTGCGTTCATAGACACTGTTTAGTCACAAAGATACTATCAGGAAGAAAAATACCCGAATATGGGAAAGAAGGGAAAGATAAATACTATTTGAAACATCATTTATTTTCAACAGATAGTGCTACCGTACATTTGAGTGTCGCTTAGAATTACGAAACTGCTAATAAGATAGTAACAAACAGAAAGACAGACCAATCGAATTACACCCTCCTAGCAACCTCACCTAATCATACTTCAACCCAGAAATCTTCACTGCCCAGGAAATTTCAAGTCCGTAACGCGCAATCTCACAGCGAAACTGTTAACATTGACCCATTTTACCCAAAACTTCGCGGCGATGGAGGCGGAGTTCACCGTTACTCCACCCATATGCAAAATCGGTAACAAATTCAACATGTGAAAGTTGGAGTGAAGCAATGTATGTGCTGTATGCAAAAACAGAATTATTTGAAAAGTATGATGCAAATCAGTGGTAAGGTTTATTTCATTAACACAGCAACAATCAATCAATACATAATATCGAAGTATATGTGAACATTTGAAAACAAGCACAAATCCAAAACTGAGAACGAAATACTCTAAATGTAGATAGATGCCTACTACTTATATTTCGTTTTTCAAAACATTTTCGTGTTTTGAAGGATCTAATGACAACCGGCAAGAAAGGAAACCAAGGAAAGGATAGTTATAAATGAATGATCTTACTCCGGGCTTAAAAAAAATAATGTCTTGTTTTTACTATAGCAATAAACAAGAAATCATCATTGTTTAGAAATATAGAAGGTTCAAAATATTCAGTTAAAAACTTCAATCATGACTTTCACTGTTTAATTATGAAAAAGTTTACCAAAAACTCTGTATTTCAATTATCAGTTAATTACATGTAAATGAATTTTGTGATTGATGAACATGTTAACAAACAAAATATGTGAAATTAAGAAACAATCACTTCAGTCCGGTTTTTTTCGCTGCTTCTTCTGCTTCGGCTTCCATCCTTTCATCATCAACAACTTTAATCAGCTCTTCCACTTCTTCAGTTGGAAGAATCCGATAGTTCACCGTGCGTCCCTGCGCAGACATATTATTTTAGTAAAGGTTATGACATATTATTAAGTACTTTAGTAGAGAATGCAAAGCAAGACAATTAGTTTCTTCAATAAAACAAAAAATAATACTCAGAAACGTAGTACCAATTTACTTAATAGCTGATTATTGAAACGCCTCTATATCAATTATATGGACTTACATGCCTTAATTAATTACACAATTAATTTTTTTTTTTTTTTTAATTCAATTTTTCACTACTGTAGTGAAAACGATGATAACCGGTTCAGTAGATAGCTTCATGACAGCAATTTCGATATTTTGAGCACCACTTTGAACCACTTGTGATAAAGCTTTCACTACTAGTTTTAAAACGCTTGCTTCATCCGCTGTTGTCTCGTCATTGTAATGCTCTTCCAGATATTCTCGCACTGGCTTCTCACCACGACCTGTTGAATTTGCCTGAAAAATGCATTTGGTAGCTAACTATGAAAATCTGAGAACTGGAATAGAAAGAGAAGCCAATTCACTGAATGAAATGCTTCTCTAAGCAAAATATCGATATTCAGTATGCAACGAAACAAATGATTTGGATCCATACAAGTTATATCAAAAAATTCAAATAGTATTATGTTAAAATTCCAATTGTGCAGTTGCGCTGAAAACATGCTACTTGATTTTGTAGCTACACGGCAAGAAAACTAACAGAATATTCGTAATAGGCTCCTGAAGGTTCAGTTTTGAATAATCGTGGAGTCCCGTCAAAATCAAAGCCACCAATAAGCATCGATATACCGAATGGTCTTCTTCCTGGGCTTTGTGTAAATCTCTGGAAAATGTAGAAATATATAAGCCAAGCTCTGTAACGTGAACACCATAATAGGCAACCTAAAATAAATAGTCAAAAAGCAAACTTGTTTAGTATTCGCTATAAATCGTGCAATGTAGCCCACTGTAACGGGATCTTCAAGAGTCAGCTTATATGACTGACATTCAATTCGTGCTCTATCCACCAAAACGCGTGCATCCGCACTAAGACCTGTAAAAACTTAGATCTTAACTTATATCAGTTTTAATATAGACTAATACAAATATGGTCGTAATGATTATATATATAGCAATAATTTATGTCGACTCTTATTAAGAGAATTTGAAGAGTGATTTGCGACGGAAGCTAAAAAGGCTATGACGCAAACAAATGAGATTAGAAAAAATCAAGAACGGTAATAAAGATCTATCGTGAAATATAAAATACGGTTCTTCTAAACTTCACGTGAAACAATTAATCAAGTACAACCGTCTAATTAGCTATAAGATAAAAGGTTTAACAATTGATATTTCTGTCTGTGAATACCGAGCATGCAGATAGGCTAATATTAGAGTTATATAAAAATTATATAAATTACAAGAAAAAAAGAATTATATAAATTACAAGAAAAAAGAAATTATATGAAAAAGGACAACCTGCGAATGCCAGCATAACATGCTCATCGATGCTATGAATTTTACGTATGGTGCGATCATCCTGCAATGTTGGTATTGATTTTTTCTCGACACCGATCACAACACAGTTTTTACCTCGCACACCAACCTAGAAAAATCTCTTCACAGAACCCATAATACAAAGAAAAGAAAGATGTGTTAATAGGAAGACAATTCTTTATATAAGAATATTACGATAGGACCAAGAAGCTCTATAATTCTGAAATGAGAATGGATAAAGTGTCACGTCAAAACACTGGGATTACCGCAGTTGATCCTTTCTTGACTGCTTCCTGTGCGTACTCTACTTGAAATAGATGACCGTCCGGCGAGAAGATTGTAATGGCACGGTCATATCGCTCCATCCCTGAAGAGATCAATTTACACGTTCAGTGAATTCCGTAACTGAGACCTTCTTTCGCACCCTAACCTGAAATTACAACCATATCGCAACTGGAGTATGAACCCGTGACACCGTCGTTACTGCAGGATTAGGGGGTGCAGTGCAAGGCAGTGCGGTGCAGCATTGCTTCAGAAATTCTTTTCGTTCTTTGCCCATTGCGAGCAAATCTTCTCTTTCTCTATTTTTTACTGACCCTGTAGGCCATATTTCTCAAATCCCAGAATTGCCTGCCACTTGCAAATTTCGGTATTCTGGAATGTCTGTCGGAATTAGTGTACTGCTCTCTGACTAGGAAAATCGTCTGCAAGAAGTATTTCATAGAATCAGATCATGGGATCAGCAGTTTAATGAGATTTTAAGTCCGGCAACTCATCCGCTCCTTCCATCACTGACTTCACTTATGCAAAAATGAAAGTGTTTAAAAACTTTACGCATTCCAGTTGTCATCTCATCTGTTCTGTCTTTCGGTAGGTTGCTCGCCATGTCTTTCGGTAGGTTGCTCGCCACTTTACGGTTAAAGAAGGTTACTTGCAAATTGTCATTTTGAAATATCACATCTTTATCTTAATTAATATGAAGAGTTCCTGGATAAATATTTGATTATGATTATGACTGATATAATTGAATGATCTGACCATGCGAAATTCTACTGACTCAATCGAGGCTTTAGTCGTTGTTGTCCATTTAATAAATGTCCTGTGCTTCAGGGTGTCGTATTTGCACTGAAATGTGAACTTGTATGAGTTGGTCTTTCTTAAATAAACTTTGTTAACTTAGATATAGAAAACTTTGTTTCAGTGATAAGCATAATCATCACGTTGTGTTTGAGTTCAACACAGTGTTTCCAAGATGTCAAGAATGAGAAATTATCGGAAGATCAAAATGACCACTGGTTACTGCTGTCTGGAATTGGCCAAAGTGATTGCAAGAGTGACGAGAATGAATGGATAAAGCCCACTGTTATCGGGTATTTGGTTGGCCAGCTTATCGGTGCTATTTTTGGTATCGCTCTATGTGTCGCATTCATTTACCATTGCATTCTTAAAAATCTAAAATTTCTGTCGTGATCGAAAAAAAAATGTCAGTTGAGTATTTATAATAATTTTCTATTAAGCATAAATATATTTACGTGTGTGACATGTAAGTACTAGGTGCGACGTTTCTCATCAGCATTATAGTCATCTTTTATTTATTGGATCAATTCTGAAACAATCTGTACTGGTTAGACAATCATGCTGATTATGTGTTATTATTTGCTATTGATCCCGTGATTTCTTTGATCTTTGGGATGTGTCACTCTGTTTCATTTCATTCAAGTCTCATGAAATTAGCTGTCCAAGTCTTTAAATTCCCGGCCTAAATTATTTCGAAGAAAGTATACGAAGGTAGCAGTCATGAAGATGTCAGTATTTTCAAAAGATTGTTTCTGTCGCAGTTGTTTCGGCACATATGCAAATTTCTAGAACTTAACTTTGGTAGAGATTTAAATCAAGATTCCACGGTTGTTTTTGTTCAATTTAGTCGGAGTATCAACATTCGAAATGTTATCCGGTGGGTTAGTGGTCATTTCTAAAGGTTGAAACAAAAGATGAACAGATCATAGGGACAAGTTTTCTGATCATTTTGGGATGAGAAGATATGAGAATTAATTTCAACTTAAAATGGATAGTATTTGTTTACAGGAGAAGCAACATAAGTAAAAGGATCATTCGTTAGCTTTGTACACTATCCATATCTTGCCTTGATTTTTCCACATTAGGTGGAATAGTGCATTTGTTCGGAACAGCTTGTCATTTAGATGAGATTATCTACTTCATGAAAACACTTCACTTTCTATTTGTAAATGCTTATCATTGATGTAATCAAATTTCAGTAAACAAATTGATGATGATATGCTTCACTTTGATTCAGTGCCAGAGATTGTCAAATCACGAATTGCATCTGCTCAATTCCAGTCAGGGTTTAGTAAAAGGTGACTGGATTATAGAAGATGAAGATGAAAATTGTGATGTCGTGGAAGAAGCTCCATGGAGTCGATATTTCTTCCGTGGCATGATAGTTGGCTTTTTAATTGGTTTGGGTGGTGGTGTTCTGCTCGGCTTTCTTTGTTGGCAAGTTCAAGTGCATAAAAAAAACTACAATTTGTAATTGAACAAAGTAATTGATACAAAGTATATCTATATCTGCTTCAAAGCTTTATTAAGCATATCATAAAATTTTTGTAATATTCTGTTGATGTCATGAAATAGAGTCTGACTGGAGTAGATTGTAGCACCGAATAATTTTTGCTTTGCATTTGATCAACATTTCGATCAGTCTTTATTTTATTGACAGAGATTATCGTTGATCGTAGTTATTCAACAGTATTAGAAAGTTTGAGAATGTAGTTATAGGAGTGCAGTGAGTGTCAAATTGCTTTCCAGAAAAGCTAATGTCAGTATAATTATTCCTTTCATAATAAGCATTAATTTATTAACAAGACGCATGATTTGCAGTGCCGCAGAGGAGATTAGCTTGTAGCAGTAAGTGTTGTTAACGTCGTCAACAATCAAATCTGGGGAGGTGAACTAAATAAGAAGCTGATAATTGTAAACAGTCTAATTGAAGACAAATTCCAACACCTATTTTTTGCTAACAAATAATGCAAATAAGCTGAGCTACATAGAAGACCAATATAAATGATTTTAGTCACATTGGAACATTGTTCAAGAAATGTTCAAACAAGACAGTCTTTACGGATTTAATGTAATTTTATTTTTAGGTATATAAATTTTTTCCGGCAATTGGTCATACCATTTTTTCTATTTCATTTCCAATGCTTATCTAAGAGTGTAATGTGAGAAATACTTTTGACTTGTCACACAGTACTTTGTTCAAGCTGGTCTGACAATTTTACAGAGTGTCTTCCAATTTTTATTTCTCGAGTTAACAGTACCGACGACGCCTCCAACATTGTTATTAAGTTATCCACCATTGAAGTCTTACTGCATAAAGCCATTTCTGTTTTCATACTTTTTTATACGTTGTCAGATAAATGACAATTAAAATCTGAGGGTGGAACATCCTCACAAGCTCAAGTTCATGAGTAAAGAATGTATATGGGTGATATGAATGACCTTTATATACTTATATTTGGATACGACATCAAAAGACAGCACAAAACATATGCAGGTTTCCAAACCAAAAAAAAAAAAAAAAAAAAAAGATCTTGAGCTTGTGGTGCGAAGTAACAACAAATTTCAGTTAATGATTAAATTATTTTGTCATGAATTTAAATTTGTTCGATTCATTTTACATTTAAAAAAACTTCCTATCCACCTTTTATTTTAGAATTTTCATTTTTTTTCACTACTAGAAAGTTTGCCCACAGTACTCGTAGTATTTATTAAAGTTGTTTAATATTTAATTTTATTTAAGAAAATGCAAGATTTGTTTAATCGAAATTAGTCGCATATTATTTATCAATTCTTACTTTTCCATGCCATACTCCATTTTATCAGAAAGAAGTTTCTGACTGCGGATGAGTTATTTTTTTTAGTATTCAGCTAATGCAACTTATTGCGTCCCCTGATGTATGTTATATCAAATTATTGTATCAGAAACCTTTTTAAAGAAATGTGGACCTTAAAGGGATGGAGCAAACCAGAAAAAAGATGGTGGATCAAAATTTGGTACTTTTCATAAATATGAAAAAGGAATGGGAGCAGTTTGTCCGCTTATAGCATTTTCTTTGACACTCTTTTCAAATTATTTTATGCATAAAAATGATTTTTTTACTCTAAGAATACAATGAAATTAACTATTCAAAAACAGTATTCATTCAGTAATCACTCAAAAAAACAAGGAATTTTCGGAATACGGGTGTATATGGGTGGTCAGATGTCAAAGTTTAGACATGAAGTTATGTAGATTTCATCTAGATTCCTTAATACTTGATTTTTATTAAAATATTCATTAAAGTATTACAATAGAAAAATTGCTACATGCCACAATTGTAAATATGCTTGACTTTACCATAACTTTCTGAAATCATATGAAATGTTTTTGGGTAAGTTTATATATTATCTTCTTTAATTGACTGTCATAATATAATGAAATAAATGATTTGTAACTTCGAGTCATTGGTTGAAAATGAAATTTAACTAAACTGCAATCAGAGAAAGCTATCATCATAAAAGAATCATGTTCCACGTCATTACCGCTTTCGTGCATTGAAAAATTTCTCAAATGTTATATACGGAAGCCACTACTGGCACATGTCACATCTTAAATTGTTGACAGTATCATAATATCGCAACAGAAAATAGTAGCATTGAATAACACAAATCAACTAATCTTATTTATCCACCAAAATAACATTGTCACTGATATAATTAACTTTATTAGGCAAATCAAAATTTAATTAAATGGCATGCATATTGGCTAGGCGTGCACTTAAAATTGTAACTTTCAAATCGCATGGAGTGATATGTGGAAGTGAAGCAAACTGTGTAGGTGTATGTAAGTCAACTTTTATTTAATGATTTTATTGGATTTATTGATCAAATTTGCTGTAATTTGTATCTAACTAATAGTTTTCTCTAGTTTTTTTTTTTTTTTAGTTAGACATAAAAGCTTTAATGTATCTCAAAACATCTTAGAAATTTTCGTCTAAGAACTATCATGACAAAGTTGCTCAAACCTGGAATAAGAGTTCCTTGATCTATGAGGTCACGTAACTTTTATTCTCATGAGAGCGGACTGCTTCTATAACATGATAGTTATCACAAAAATAATTGCTATTTAAAAATTATACTGAACAGGTAAGTAAACAAAAAAAGTTGTTTTTCCAAGCTTCACGTAGAAGAATGAGCCAAGCTCATCATAGCTCTCTGGCTTTTATGCGTTGAAAAACAAGCACTGCATGTCATATTTGAATCAGATTTTTATTTTTTACTGCTTACGATCTGTTTTCAAAGTGTT